TCCACCCATCCACCCCATCCATCCACCCATCCATCCATCCACCCATCCATCCACCCATCCATCCATCCACCCATCCACCCATCCATCCATCCATCCACCCATCCATCCATCCATCCATCCACCCATCCATCCACCCATCCATCCACCCATCCATCCACCCATCCATCCACCCACCCATCCATCCACCCATCCATCCATCCATCCATCCATCCACCCATCCATCCACCCATCCGCGTGTGACCCCGCTGTCCCCAATACTGACACGTGCGTCTGTCCCCACAGCCACCCCGCAAGGTGTGATCCCCGGCATCATTGGCGCCGTCGTGGTCGCCGTGGCTGGCGCCATTTCCAGCTTCATCGCCTACCAGAAGAAGAAGTTCTGCTTCAAAGAAAGCGGTAAGGCGTCTGTGTCCCTGTGTCACCCTTCTGGACATGGTGGTTGAACCTCTAAGTCCTACAAGGGATGTGGGGTTGGGGCAAAGCAAGCATGTCACAACTGGGGGTCCCCAAAGCCACCACGACTCCGCTTGGGGACCTCGTAAGCTTGGGGCTCACAGCTGCCGCTCTGTCATTAATTGTGCCTGCAAGTCGCTGACCGCTCCGGGGTGTATAGGTTTCCATTGATAGATTTGGGGTTCATTGGTACTGGGGAGACCTGTGAGAAGGATGGACGGCCGTGCCCTAAAAGGCTGAGAGCCTGTGCTCGTGAAAGAAGGATTAGTTTCTGTCATTGGTTCCTCGTGATTTGCCATCACTGTGACAAGGACCAAGGCCCGGTGGCCACCATCTTGGTTTCCATCCAATGGAATTCAAATCAATCATGGCGGCTCCCCAGCCGTTCTGTTCTTCATGGAACCAAACCGTGACCCAGAAAGGTCGGGGAATGGACGGCAAATGGCGTGCACGATTTGGGGGACCCCACGGCCACCACCATAGTCACAGCACAGATTCGAGTGCACACATGGGCCAAGGTTAGGTCTGTGAGTCGGTCAGTGCCACCGTCTTGACCTTAGGTTCACGTGTGTCCTGCTCTTGCATGAGGCACTGTTGGCATGTGGCGTGTTTTCTGGGGACCCCAGTGACCCCCCAGACGGCCCCTCCGGTGAGTGGGGCGGCCCCTCGGGAGGAAAGGCCTCGTAGAAGTAATTGACTGACAATTTTCACGGAAAAGATAACCAGATGGCTTTTAGACCTGGGGTCATCCATGACCCTTCTTGAAGGACGTCCCCTTGAGAACTCCCAGGGTCACAGCTCCGGGCCCCCCTCCCCCAGTTCCTTGTCGTTGGAGTTTAGGATTTCCACGCACGTTTAGGGTTTTCTGGGTGAATTTTAGTGGACTTTGGAAGCCAGCGGTGCTCATTCTGGATCGCGGAGGCCTCAGTGGGTCACCGTGAAGTTGTAGGTTTCCTGAGGGGACCGTGGGTACCTCGTGGCTTTGTCCTCGCGGGAGGTCGCTGTCATTTGGGAAAACCATCGTCCTACCCCGTGACCTTCTAGTGAGACAGGCCGAGGTCCGAAGTGACGAGGTGACATTGAGATTTTCGTCATTTTCTGAGTTGATGTCAAGATGGCCCTGGGGCCAACATGGAGTCACTGTGGTCCAGCTCCAGATAAAGGGACTCGGGGGTGGGGGGACTGATTTCCCCTCCTTCTGCCCCGTATTGGTTCAGATTCGGATTTGGGGTCCGTGTGGCCCGCGGGGGACCCGGTGACCTCTGTGGACTCGGTGACCTTGGGTGTCCCGTGGGTCGCAGTGTCCCCGGTCATTTTAGGGTTTGTTCAGGGGCACCGAGCTCACCACTGCAGTTCGCTTGGGGCCTGCTGAGCTGCGTGTCCGTCTGTCTGTCCGTCCTGCTGTCTTGCTTTGTGTGGCCGGTGACAGACGTCACGGTGACACGGGGTCCGGCCGGGGCTGCTGAGGTTGGGTCATGGTGGGTTCTGAAGCCTCTGGGAAGATGGATAATGGAGCAGCCTCCTCCCTCTCTCTCCCTCTCTCTCTCTCTCTCTCTCTCTCTCTCGACCCCCCCATAGATGCCCCGAAGACCTAGGGTGGAGCGGAGCAGCCCCGTGGCGTCCCCCGCGTCCCCCCCGCCCGCCATCCCGGCTTTGCCTCGCTGGCAACCGGCCACCGAGTGACCCGAGTGTCTCTGGTCCCCTCGCTCGCCTCCCTGGCGGGGTTTCGCGCTCTCCCGCTGCCCCCCACCCCGGCTCGTTCTAGACCACATCCTACCGCAGCGCCAAGGCAGACGCTTTTTGTTTTTCAGTCATTTAATTCCCTGCGCGGCCAGGGCCGACCTCGAGCTCGCGACCCGAGTGCTGGGATTACAGGCGTGCGCGGCGGTGCCTGGCCACGGCGTCGCTTCGGACTCAGACCCGAGGCAGAGGCCGACGGCCGCCATATTCCACGGTATTTTGTGATGTGCTTCTCCCTCTTCTTCCCGCGAGCCGTGACCTGCCTCGGTTTCTCCAGATAGATTTAGGACCCCAGCAAGGAAGTCGTGGGGCGACCTGAGGATGTCTAGGCCTGCGCGTGCGGCTGGGGTTGGTTGTCTCCCCGTGGCGGTCGCCTTCTCGGACCAGGCCCTGTGGTCTCGGAAGGAGGCCCGATGGGTTCTGAGCTCATCCAGCAAGCCAGTTTTGTGCGGGATCCAGGCTGTGCGGTCTCTGTGCATCCAGAAATGTCAATCCATCGTGGCCTCTGTCCTAGTCAACCAGTCATGGACTCCGTCCTAGTCAATCCATGGCAGACTCCGTCCTAGTCAATCCATTGTGGGCTCTGTCCTAGTCAATCCATGGTGGACTCTGTCCTAGTCAATCCATTGTGGACTCTGTCCTGGTCAATCCATGGTGGACTCTGTCCTAGTCAATCAGTCATGGACTCTGTCCTAGTCAACCAGTCATGGACTCCGTCCTAGTCAATCCATGGCAGACTCCGTCCTAGTCAATCCATGGTGGACTCTGTCCTAGTCAATCCATTGTGGACTCTGTCCTGGTCAATCCATGGTGGACTCTGTCCTAGTCAACCAGTCATGGACTCTGTCCTAGTCAATCCATCATGGCCTCTGTCCTAGTCAACCAGTCATGGACTCTGTCCTAGTCAATCCATGGCGGACTCTGTCCTAGTCAATCCATGGCGGACTCTGTCCTAGTCAATCCAGTCATGGACTCTGTCCTAGTCAACCAGTCATGGACTCTGTCCTAGTCAATCCATGGCGGACTCTGTCCTAGTCAATCCATCGTGGACTCTGTCCTAGTCAATCCATTGTGAACTCTGTTCTAGTCAATCCATGGCGGACTCTGTCCTAGTCAATCCATGGTGGACTCTGTCCTAGTCAACCAGTCATGGACTCTGTCCTAGTCAATCCATGGCGGACTCTGTCCTAGTCAATCCATCGTGGACTCTGTCCTAGTCAATCCATTGTGAACTCTGTTCTAGTCAATCCATGGCGGACTCTGTCCTAGTCAATCCATTGTGAACTCTGTCCTAGTCAATCCATGGCGGACTCTGTCCTAGTCAATCCATCGTGGACTCTGTCCTAGTCAATCCATGGTGCACTCTGTCCTAGTCAATCAATCCCCAATGCAGTGTTACTCAATCAATTATGAATATACTGTTAGTCAATCATGGACGCAGACCTAGTCATTTCTTCCTGGACTCTGTCCTAGTCAACCATTCACAAATTCACTGTTAGTCGGTCCATCACATATGTACCGTTAGTCAGTCAATCATGGATGCAGGCCTTCAGTCAATCAGTCCTGGATTCTGTCCTACTGAGTCAGTCATGGACACGGTGTCAGTCAGTCAACCGTGGATGCAGATGATTCCGTCCTAGAAAATCCATCATGGACTCTGTCCTAGCCAATCAGCCATGGATCCTGTCCTAGTCAATCAGTCCTGGATGCAGTGCTCGCCCCTCAGTTATGCGTGTTCTGTTAGTCGATCAATCATCGGTGCACTGTCAGTCAGTCAATCGTGCATTCTGTCCTCGTCAGTCAATCCTGGACGCAGGCCTCGTCCCCAGATGGGATTTCAAGATGGCGCCAAGCCGCGTGTCACCCTCGTTTATCCGATGTTTGTGAGCCTGACAGGGAAGGTCTGTCCGTCTCTTGCTCGAGACCAGTTTTGTCCCATTTTTGTGCAATGTTGGCCTTGGGTGACTTCTGAGTCACTGCGATGTGGGTTTTTTAGGGAAAAGGATCCAACGTGGCCCAGCGGACGGTGTGCATCACATCTGGGTGTCCGTTCTCCTCTGGGTCGGTCTGTCCATCTGTGGGGTCGGCACCGTGACCCCAAGTGTACATAGCGTCTCCCATGTCCTCTGCATGAATTTTGCAAAAATCCACGTTGTCCGAGAGTCATCAACAAACCTCCTTCCCGGCGACGTCGGCTCCTCCGTGTCACCCACCAGCTTGTGGCCCTTGCATCCCTTCCCCGGCCGAGCAGAAATAAAACGTTGGCAAAACCTTTGACGTCCTGTGTTGTCACCTCGTGTCACGCGTCACGCGGGGAGGAACCGAGAATGCTGGTTCAAATCTGACCTTTGGGATTTGGATGCAGGACTAGTCAATCATCAACCAGTCTGGGATGCGGTGTTAGTCAATGAATCCTGCATGCCAGTCAGTCAGTCAGTCAATCAATGACTGTCAGTCAGTCAATCACAAACACCCGGTCAGTCCTAAGGGACATTTCTGACTTGTCACCTCTTGAGCGTTGGGGAATCCAGCCGGGTTTTGGGGTTCGCGGGCTGAGCCTCTCAGTGTCTTGTTTTTGCTTTTAGCGGAAGATGGTGACATCCAAATGGAAAACCACGCCAACGCCGAGCCGCCAGGTAACGGGAGCATTTCCGTCCGGCCCCGGGTCCTCGGGTGGCCCTTTTGCCCCGGGTTTGGTCCTCGAGTCCTTGACCCCAATCAGACGCCATTTCCAGGGGATTTTCCTTGGGACTCCATGGGAACAGGGCACCAGGAAGTGCTTTGGGCGACAGTTTGTTGACTGACTCTCTGTTTTTTCCCCCTCTTTTCTGCACAGTTCAGCAAACACTTTTAGAAAAGTAGGACACCATGTGCAAAGAAAGACCCCGGCCCCATTTGGTTCCCAGCACCGTGGGGACAGGCGACACCGGCCCCGGACGGACTCACGGACACGCGCGGATCCACCCCGAAAGTCGCCGTGGGGTTCCTCGTTCTAATCCCCGTTCTAATCCCTGACGGAGCGGTCGGGTGTGGATTGGCTGCCACCCGTCTGTCTGTCCATCCGTCTGTGGGTGACAGCTCGGGGACCCCCTCCTCCCTGCCCCGACCACGGTCTCGGGTCCTTCCCCTGATGAGGAGGGGACCACGAGTTCTGTGATTCACTCAACAAACGACCTCTGCCCTGTGTCCCCTGGCACGGCCATGGCGGCCTCTTGTCATGGCTGCCATGTGTTGAGGTTGACCAGGTGTCCGGAACTGGCCGTGGCAGGACCAGTGGCAGCGGCAGTCACCTGGTTGCCTGGGTAACGGGTGCCTTGTCCCCAGGTGTCCCCAGTGAGTGACGTCGCACGCCGCGCACGGACTTCTGAAAGATACGCAAAATTGTTCCCATGTGTCCCCCGAAAAATGGCACTGAAACCACGAGTGGAAAAAAATCAGTTAGTCAGTCAACTAACACCTGTGACCATAAAAGTAGTCTGGGTATAAATCTTCATTGCCTGGCTTGAAAGTCACTTAGTCACTCAACTAACAGTGTACTTTCTAAAGACCTTTTCTTCATGCTGCAGAAATGCATTATTGCCCGGCTGGAAAACATCACTTAGTCACTCAACAAACATTTCAAAATCTGAGCTTAACGAGCTTTTCTTTTGTGAAGTTACTGTTTTTATCATCATCATCATCATTTTGACACAAAGCCAAAGCTATAGATGATCATTGCCTGACTTAAAAAAAAAAAAGTCCATCAGTTATTCAGGCAACTATCACCTAAAATCCTAGCGTCCGTGGTTCCAACCTGGCTTTGGGGTGTAGACGGCTTGGGGACCCAGAGGCCACCGATGTCCGTAAACGTGGGTTCGAATCCCACACGGGCAGCCCGAGAGCGTTCACAGCCCTCGGGGCACCCCAAGATCCCATATGTGAACCCCACATCCTGTAAACACCCCAGCTCTGTCTGGTGTCCCTGTCCGTGTGTCTGTCTCCTCTGGGAACACCATTTTCTCCTGTCACTGCACACCTGCCCCCTGTGTGGCTCTGACCTGGCAAGCATGGGGGTGTTTGTTGATTGACTGTGTGAGCTCATCCCATGCCGCAACCTTGGGAAGCAGAAAACCTGGTGTTGACCTACCTGGGCTTGGGGTGACCTCTAACGTCGCTCAGGTGAAGGTCACGAAGGATCAGGTGTCATCTACCCGCCCTGCACAACTATCTGGGACTCTTCACTGGCATGCTTGGGATGTTTGTTGATTGACTGTGTGAGCTCACTCAATATGGCACCCTTGGGAAACAAAAACTGGGCCTCGGGGCCAGTTCTAGCGTAGGTCAGGTGACAGACACCAAGGTCACATGTCACCTCTGGGCCCTGCACAACTCTCGGGGTCCAGGTTCCTGGTTCTGCCCCCCCATGGAGGTAAGTGACTGACTATTAAAGCGTCATTCGTTGCGCCTTTGTCCAAGTGTACAGGTGTTCGCATGGGGTCTCTGGGGACCTTTGCCGCCCTCTTGGGGTGGGGGCCTTGGGGTCACGTGAGCACCGTCCCCGCTGTGTTGGGGTGTTGCGGGGGCGGCTGGAGACGTCACCTGTGGCCCAGCCCAAGGGTGGGCGGTGCCTCAGCAGGAGGCGGGGCGGTGGCCGATCCCGCAGGCGGTCGTAGAGCCGGTCACATAACCGCGGACCCCACCGACCGGGCCCAGCATGCGACCGTGGAGGGGCTGGGTGGCCCTGCTGTGTCTGGTGACCCAGGTCCAAGGTAGGGCCCCCGATTTGGGGTTTTGGGGTCCCCTGTGGGGTCTTTACAGGGTCCGTCCTGGGACTGGCTCCTAAATCCGTCACCTGTGGGGTGCGGACCGGCCTGGCAGCCCTTTTGGGGTCATGGGGACCTAAGGAGGGGGTTCCCAGCCGTGACCCCAAAACCGAGCTGGGTCGGCCCTACAGTTTCTCTGATTTGGGTCCCAAATCCCGTCCCGGGCCCTGTGGGGTTTGGGACCCCAAGGGTTTTTTTGAGACACGAGGTGTCGGGCGGATCCCGGGCGTCGACACCGGTTTTTCTGGTTCTGCCCGGTTTTCGGGCCAGGCTGTTATTGGGGTTTTTATTAGGGCCCGAGCTGGCTGAGGGCGGTGGAATTGGGGTTCAGACCCTACAGACCGATCTTCCCGGCTCCCCTTGGCTTCATTGATGGGAGACTTAAAGGTGAGGCAGGTTTTAGGGTCACCCCGAAAGCCAGCGCAGCACAGAAATTTCCATCTGTTAGTCACTCTGCAAACATCGCTTGTGAATACTAGAATTCGGGGTTTGGATCCGAAAAAAAGTCATTGAGACCCCAAAATTATCTTGCCGGCTTCCCCTGGGTTTAATGATAGCAGTTTTAAAGGATGAGGCAGGTTTTAGGGTCACCCCGAAAGCCAGCGCGCAGCACAGAAATTTCCATCTGTTAGTCACTCTGCAAACGTTCGCCGAAAATGGCGCCTGCAGAGGATGTGGACAGCCTGGGGCTTCTTGGGGGGTCGTTGTTGGTGACTTAATAGGATTTTGCGATTTTACGTGTATTTGGGTTCTAAGTGGTGGGCGCACGGCTTCCAGTATAGGGCGGGGTTGGTTTCTGTAGCCCAGGTCTTGGCAGAGCTGTGGTCCCGGCTGTGTTTGAACCATCTTCCTTGCAGCCTTGGCCGGGGAGGACCCCAAACCCGGAGACCACCCCAAATCCTCCCAAATCCCCCCCAAATCCCCTCTCCTGTTTCCACGCCCGAGCCAAGTCACGGCGTTTGTTGACTGAATGCACGACCGCGGGAAGAATATTAAATGCAAACTCCGGGGGCGGGGTGGGGGTGGGGGGCAATTGTAAACTTTGCACAAAGTGGGAACGGGCAGCTTTTGGGGTCCCTGGTGTCTGCAGCCCCAGCTGGTTTTGGGGTCCCCGGCAGCACCTGTCCCCATGCGTCCCCACCCGTCAGGCCTCAGAGAAAAACCCACAAGGAGACAATGGGGCCCCGCCTGTCACCTGCCGGCGCCGCTCAGGCGTGAAGAGCCATCTTGTAGGGGGTGGGGTGGGGGGGGCTGAGCTGTCAATCACTCAGCTTGGGGGCGCAGTGTCCCCAAGGGTGGCCCTGGGACGGTGGCCGGACACCCGCTTTTTCTGTCTGTCTGTCTCTTTATTTTTTGCAAAAACTTTTTAGAAGTTTTGAATGACTTCACGACCGCACAAGGTTTGTCGTGTGACTGCGCGACGGTAAATTTTTCTTTCTTTGCAAAGTCTTTTTTGCGGTCGCGAATGACTTCACGATCGCACGAGGTTTGTCGTGTGACTACGCGACGGTAAATAGTCAATCAATGTCACATTTCCGCACAACTGAAATATTCCCGTTTCCGGGGGTGTCACGATGGCCGAGGTCATAGACAGCCGCAGGCAGTGGACTCGCCCCTTGTTCGGGCCCCAATGTTTCCTTTCCCCCCCATCGCTCCCTCCATTGCTGTGACCGTCAGGTATTCAGTCAGTCAGCATGGTGGACTCCGCTTCCGCCTGCTTTCCCGCCAGTGCGGTCACTTCCTTCCTCTTCGTGGCTCAGTGATATTCCTGTCCCTCATCATCATGATTGCCCCTCATCGATTTGTCCGTCTGCCACCTGTCAATCATCTCTGCCGCCCACCACCTTCTTCCTGGCTGCATAGTGTTCCGCGCCCCGACCATTGGTGCCTCGGCTTCCCCCATCCGGGAAGAGGATTCGGTTCTGGGGTTCGACGTCCCTGATGCTGGTTTTGGTCCCAACAGGACAAGGGGACTTTGACTTGGCCGACGCCCTGGACGACTCCCGTAAGTGGCCGCATTTCTTGGGGAACCCCCCATTTTTCTTGGGGACCCCCTTCTTTGTTCTCAGCTTTGCCTCTGCTCTGCGGTGCCTTTAGGGTGGGATGGGGCGGCGACCTCGCGGTGTCGCCCAGGCTGTGAGGTCGCACTGCCCTTCGGCGGGGTTTGTTGACTGAATAAATGAGCGGAGAAGAGAGACCATTGTCCTGCGTCCTCGCGCCTCATGGTCCTACGGGAGCCGCGCAGCGCCCGCCGCTGACTCTGAGCCCCTCTCCCCACAGCCGCGTCTGTCTCCCCGCCACAAACTCACTCTTTCCCCCATTTTCCCCCAAATTTGATCTGTCATAAAAACCGACATTCAATCAACAAACCAAATTCAATCAACAAACGAAGATGCAATCAACAAACACGGAATTTCCCGCGGTGCTGAGCAGCGCCCCCAGCGGCCGGGCCGGGGCAAAGCCGAATTTTCCCTTGTAATTTTGTAATCGGCGTCTACTAATTGCACAACCCGATTAATTCTCCTCTCTCTGTCCGCAGAGCCCACCAAGAAGCCAGGCTCAGGTGAGGGGGGTTCCTGGGGTCGCCCCGACTTGGTG